GACTGAGGACTCTGTAATAACTCATGGAAGAGTGTTAATAATTTGCTTTGGCAGATAATTACTCAGAAGCAGACCCTAAACTCATGCTATCACCACCTTGTGATGCCCAGGAGCTCACATCTCAGTCCTGGCTGCTCCAATCTGCCCTTCCAGGACGGCTCAGTGCTCAGGAGTGTTCACAGATTCCGTACTGGGAATCTGTTACCTCTTACAAAGCCCGGCCCCCCATTTTTCTTCACCTCTCTGGTGGTTCTAGTCCCTCTAAGCTCCTTCAAACACTTCCCCTTGCCAAAACGACAACACTCTGTCGGAATTTTAGCCACTCCATGCCACACCTCTGCTGGGCTGTGACCATGCTCAGCACAAAGCCACAGATGTGCAAAACTATGGTAGCTGCTCCCTCTGTAGTGTGACTCCCTCCAAATCACAGTGCTTCCAGGCACTTTCCAAAGCCCTCCAGTATTATGCTTTGTTTGTTTGTTTGTTTGTTTTTGTAGCGTTTGTAGTTATATGTGCATGGTTCAATCTGTTAGGGGCTGATTCTTCTATGAGAACCCTACGGTATCATTTTTATAAAGTCCAAAGTCAGTAACCATGTGTTAGGTACATGGTTAGGTGTGTGTGTGTGAGAGACAGAGAAAGAGAGAGAGAGCAAACACGGTATAATAAGCATCGCAATAATCAAAGGCAACATAAAGACAGAAGTCAGATTAATGTACTCCTGAAGAAGAAATGCAGGGGGTCAGAGAGGGGAAAGCACACAAGTAAATACAAATTATGATCAGTGCTCTAGCCTTCAGAGCTAATAGATGGTCACTACAGTATTCATTAATAAATAAATAACCTGACAGAATAAGGGCCAGACATGGACTCAGCGTGACTACCTGTCATCAACTAAAGACCTGAATTAATTTAATTCTGCCCATCTAAGAGCAAATATTCAGAGTCCCTCTCTACTTCCTGGACCCCTGAAAAGTCTCAAAGTCGGTAAGATTCAGAGATGCTCTAGTGGCAGGCTTCATGAAATGGCTCAGGATTTATGAGATTCATTTACAGGTAAAATTTATGGGCCATTCCGATATAGGCACATCTTCAACACATGGCTAATAATGAGGAAGCTCTGTAAATAAATTGTGGTTCAGGCAGCAGAAGAAGACAGAGGCGTGCATGCGGGTATCGTTCCTTTGTTCACCACATGGACCGCTGGACCAAGCAAAAGTTCCAGAAGGCTGAACAGGCAGGAGACTGTGTGTAAGAAGCTCACAATCTCAGAGCAGGAAGAAGCCCTAGAAGCATATCTGCGTGGACATTTCCCAGGGGGGCCTGGACAAGAAGCTTCCTTGGTCTCATTATCTTAAACAGGGCTGAGCGGAACACCAGGAAACATGCCAGAGGGAGGGAGGTCCTGCTGGCCAAGGGGGTGGAAAAAGTGATGTCATCACGGAGTTCTTTCCCATCTCTAGATGTCTTTCTTTAGAAAGGAAGGAGAGTTCAAACCGCTTCAAAATAAGATCACTAGAGACCTAGCTTAGAAGAGTGGCTCTGATCAGAGAGAAGTTTATCAAGATTTACTGTTCTGCTTGATAATCACACACAATGTCAAAAGAGCTCTCCACCTAGCTACTGCTTCCCGGTAAATACGGGGTAAAATTTTAAAAGACAGCTGAATAATTTTTCTGGGAATTGAGAACAGTAGGGGGAGACTATATAAAGAATACAGCCCCAGAATAAAGGCTTTTCTCCCCAACAGTCAAAAGCTCGACAAAGCATAGTCAACCTTTTCTTTTGCAGAGTATTTCAGAGAGCACAACGGACAGGAAACTCCTTCCCACCTGCTTGCTACACGGTTTAATTTTAAGACGAGTGCATTCCCAAAGGCTAATTTCTAAAGAAGAGAAAGAAACTGTTACATTTTCTTTTCTGGTGGCATTAATAATACATTTTCTGCATATCCCTAGGTCAAGAGAAAAATAGACGACCTGTGTTTCTCCACTGCTTTCCCTGAACCAGCCATCAAAACACACTTTCAAAGCTATGCTTTATAAAAATACACTTTTAATGAAAAGATTAGGAAATGTGCTAATTGCTCTAAAATTCAAATCTTCAACCAAGTGAACACCCCCTCGACTGTAAGTACGTAAGGCCTCTTTGGGGGAATGTAACCCTAATTACGCGGCAAGCTTCGGGACAGCCACGTTTATGGCAGTGGCAGATTCTGATAAGATACGTGCCCGGGCGTGGTGTCTGGGCTCTTGGGGGGTGCGGGGGGGTGATGTTGGTATTTAGCTGCAATCCACAGGCCAGGAAGGTCAGCTCGGACAAAGCTGCGCCTAATGAAGCTGCTAGTGTCTGGGGCGAAAGGGCCACAAAGCCTTTCAAATTAGCAGCTGAATCCTGACACTCATTAGTGGTTATATATGCAAGAGCTGCGCCCTAAGCCGCGACCAGCAAAACAGCCTAGATGCTCAGCTTGTACACAAAGGAAATAAAGTACAGACGCACAGAAAAAACTGGAATCGTCACGCTGGTTCCCTCGTCGCATTTTGACATTTTTCTTTTTCTTTTCTGCCTTTATTTTTAAATTAATGACAGGGCTGCAGTATGCTTACTTTCCAATTGAGTCCTAAAATAATTACCACTGTGATGAAAATGAGACTTTTCATTGTTTAATTTTAATCAAGGAAGGTCTAGTCAGAAATTATGTCTGCTAAGATCTGTACAAGACACAATACGCCCATGTTAACTAGCAAAGCCAATAAATCACACTGAAGCACTTATTAAAGTATCTTACAGGACTAAATTTATCACTGATGACAAATTTAATTTGGGACTCTGAGAATTTGTTTCTTGCACAGACTTCAGTAGAGTTGGGGGGCCGGTTATGTCACAAGTGACGTCCTCGAGATTTTCAGAGAGGCAAAAGATCAGAAAACTTTATCCTAGAGCTTCACTGTCACTAGCAAAAGTTATGCATTAAAATTCTTCCCAGGCTATGCCATTAGAGTTAGGAGAATTTTTTAGACAGTGATAATGAGAATTTTGCAAAGCAGTTTATACCGTTCACTCAAGTCAGCCCACACCGCCTCTCCAAGGGTAGGTCTGTGCTTGTCCCTTGACAATGAAGGAGAGAGAGAAAATTAAGATACGGAGTCTTCCCTATGTAACAGGGGAAATAACTTTAATCTGAGGCAAGGTCATTTTGGCACGAGGGGAAGCGGAAAGAAAACAAGTAAGGAAATTCACAAAACTGTACTGAGCCTTCTTGTAAGTACCCAACACTGTAGTGAAAGGGTGATATTCTTGCTGTAGGTATCCAAAGAGAATTATGTTTCAAATACACATCGGCAGCCTTTGTTTGACACCACATACTTCGGACTGTGACAGGAGCTATTTCTTATTTTCTGTCCCAATCAACCACACTATGCAGTTTATCGAACCCCACAAGCAGGTTACGTAAGTTATATGTTCCATAAACTTTTCCTCTTCCCAAAACAGCTCTACAATCCTACATCAGCACTTTTCTCTTGCCTTTTCAAACAGTATTTTCTTTCTTGACAATGCAATCAGCATATAAAAAACCGAATCCCACCGCCTGGTCTGTTGAAGGCAAAGCAAGCAGCCTGAACTGCAGGCTGACAGGGAGAACACATTAAGCCCCAGAACAAAAGCATCCAAGTCGACCTGTTCTGCAGACTGATTAATAGAAACAAGCTCCAAGGACTAATCACAAGTCGAGCCCTGCTTTGCAGATTGATAGAACAAAGACCCGGAGAGGAGGGGAGGTGGCAGCCCTGGAATACAGATAAGCAAAGGTGGGCACAGGCGTCCCTGACTCAAGTCACAGCCTGTGAAGGCCAAGAGCCCAGGGACCCACATGCGGGGGTCGCACACGGTGTTAAAGGAAGCGCCACTTCCCACTGCTCTGGGGCTTGGCAGCCGACCGAGCAGCGGTGTGCCATCTCGCTTCCACCATCTTGGAAATTCTGGGTTAGAAGAGAGACACAGTTGTCCTAGCCCACGCAGCCCTGCAAGCCACAGCACTTGTTGATTAGGGTGAGCACCTCCCAGCCCCCATGTTCTCCCATAACCCGTCCCACAGAGGACCGGAGAAGTGTACCCACAAGTACACACAGATCACGCAAACATCCAGCGTGCGTGGTTAGAATAAGTGAGTTCATTTCCAAGTTATCCACAGACACACATTCTACAATTAGAAAATGTGGCCTTTTTTCCTGACAGGAAAAATAAAACTCATCTGTAAGAAGGGACAAAATTCCAGGAAACGTAGGGTGAAAGAAAAATAAGCCATTCCCAGGAGAAAATCACCCTTATCCTTGTGGGGCGCCCCCTCCTCTGTTTTCATTTTTCCTCTCTCCATTTTTATAGTGTTATGATCCATCTGTCCACTTTTGGTGGGGATATGGCTTTTAAAACGCGTACTGCTAATTAAAAGAAGAAAAACTCGCCACTATCCCTGATAAATGATAGTAATTCTTTAATGTTGAAGCCCATTAAAAATGGTGAATATATGAGTTGTTTTACTGGAATTGTAAAGTCGTCAAACATGCATATCTGGTTAACTGACATGACTTTACACAGCTTGAGAAATAGAACAGTTAAGTGCTGAGATGTCTGTCTGTCTTCCTTTCCTCTTTCTTTATCCTGATTTATACCTTTGATGGTTTCCTACTTTACCTATTGCTAATTTTTTTGTTTTGTTTTGTTTTTGTTTTTTTTCCAGTACCGGGAATCAAACTCACGACTTCATGCTTGCTAGACAGGCGCTGTGCCGCTGAGCTAAACCCCCAGCCCTCTTACTTTACCCACTTTCCCACCATCACTTTTTCTACACCTGTGTGTGCAAAATCAGTCCAATACAAGCTTTGCTGGTCTCATTCAGGAGAGGATCTGATTTGATATTTTCTGAGTAGGACAAAGGGCGTGGGTACTCTCTGACACATCTGCATCCTGCTTCATCAACAATCCAGTGTTCTGTCTACTGTGAAATAATAAAACCTGGTGAATCTCTACGGTTACAGCACCTCAGAAGGGACCTCAGAGCGCTGGGAAGCATGCATGTGGTTTACAGATGAGCAAGCTCCAAGCTTTCCTGAGCAGTCATCCTGTTTCCGAATAACCTTAAAAACGACTTGCTCCTTGGGATGTGCTTTTCCGTTTCCTAGCAGCATACAGAAGCAGCAGGTAGGTGCTGGTTTCCTTTCCCACCTTTCCTGGGCCTCCCGTGAGGCTCAGCGTTAGTCACACACTGGGGTTCCCACTTTTCCTCACACTATGTCGACCCAATAGGTAAATGCCTCGTCTTTCAAAGGAATATGTAGCAACAGAGGAATGGCCACATAGCCGAAACCCCTCATTCCTAAATGCTGCCCATATGTTAATTTCTCCAGATTATATAAAAACAAAGTCTACAAGTGAATCCTATGAGTCTTAAAATTGCTCTTGCTTAGATGATAACATCAAGGAAAGAACCGAGGAGGTGAGAAGGTGACGGATAAAACCCAGCGGCACATCCCTGACTAGTTTTACCATCGACAGTTGCTGGCTAAGTTTTAGTCCAGCATCTTTTACTCGCTTCTGCAGGTTTCTATGTTGATTCCCGAGTCATAATAAACCTAGTGATGAGGGGTGATTTAGAGCTGGGCTTCCAAATCATTGAGACAATAAAGAAACGTTTTTCCTAGTTTCTGCATTCAACAACTCTGTCTAGAACCGTGAGGCTCCAAGCTACTTCCCACGCCTCGTGAGTCTCCCAGTGACATGGAAAATCCCTTATTAGATTCAGCTTTAAGATCAATATATCCCAGAATTTCAATAAAACAGTAGCATGAAATGTAGTGGAGAAACAGGAGCCGCCATTTATTAAGTCAGGCAGCCATCAAAAGCACTTAGCTTTATGTCCAATTTTGCACATAATGTATAAAATGCATAACCCAGTTTGGGAAAGAATGGGCAGTCAGTGTGCCGACTCTGACCTTTCTTTTTCTTTACAAACAAAGCGTTGCTTTCACTTAGTCTTCAGTGTTGATTTACTGTAGATCCACAGGAAATTCCAGCACCCCTTTTTATTTATGCAATCTAACCTATCAACAACACATGTGCCAAGACAGTGGGGCTAAAGGTACCCAGATTAACCAATATTTATTAGCACCACCTTCAGACGCTATCTTGGGAAATTTTACCCTAGGAAGAACCTTCCTGAGGAGAGGTCTTAACGACATCCTTAATGTGCCCTCATCTACCAGGGTTTCTCTTTTCTCTACCTTTTCATTTCATTTTTTGCTGCAGATTTCATGCTTGCACACTATTAGTCGTAGTAACTGTTTTTACACGTCAACCAAGCTGATCTCCTCTAATATTTGAGCAAAACAGCCTCTTCTCATGAATTAATGCAGACTTGCAGCTCACCTTGTCTGCACTGCAAACCCAAAGCTTTCAGATTCAGATTCCGATTGCTGGAGAAGGCCTCCTTCTCACAGAACGTTCTGCATGCAATTTATCGTCGCCATCCAACATTACCTTTATCTTTCCTGGATGAAAACACGCTGCCAGGCATTACTCACACATTGAAAATGAGACTCCACCTCAGTGACCTTAAAAATGTCCCATATGTCTTCATCTAGCAGACATTCAGTCACTATTCCACGCCTCTGGACAAAATGGGGAAATTGTACCAGGTTCCTTTCCTAATTGAGGCCCACTTATCACATTATGAGCAACTTGTCATGCAAAGAAGCCCAGCAATATTCGTTATCCACTTCTTAAAATTCTCTCTTCCACTCTCATGCTTTAGAATTCTCTCTCCCTTTCTCTCACCCCCCCCTGCTCTCTCATACACACACACACACATGGAGGAACCATTTTCCTAGACCAGTGGTGGCGAACCTACAGCACGCGTGCCACAGCAGGCTGTTTGTATCATTGAAAGCTCTAAAAGGTTTCCATCACTATCCTAGAGTGAGCTTCCTACTGACCTCATTTCTGTCCCTTCTGCCCCAGTATATTTAACCACTATAGAAAAAATACTAAACAAAATGAACAAAACAAAAAGTTACTTTTCAGACAGGAAAGTAATATTTTATTTAGCATGACTGATCTCATTTCATTCCCATGAGAAAAACAAACCATAAAAAGTGAAGATAACTTTAAAAATAGAAGTTTTGGAGCCAAACAGGTTCCAGTTTGATTTCCAGGCCTTTGGGAAGTGAGCATCCTCAAGTAAGCTATTTAGCTTCTCTAGCCTTTCATTTCCTCATCTCCCCAGTAGGGGTGTATACTAGGCAGCTTTCCCAATGCTGAAACACAATACCCATCCGTGTAATGTAAAGGAGAACAGATTTAACGCGGCTCGTGGCTCACGGCTCACGGCTCATGGTTTCAAGGGTTCAGTCCATGGTGATTGGCTCCAAAGCAGAAATCTCGTGGAAGAATGCGGCAGAGAAAACATGCTCAGCTCATGGCAGCCAGAAACAGGAGAAGAACCAAGTTCCAGTGGGAGAAGTGCCAAGGAGAGATGAACCAGCCAAAGGCACAACCCAGTGATCCACCTCCAGCGGGGCTCCAGCTTGCAACAGCACACCTGAATATCAGTAGATTAACTCACTGATGAGGGTAGCACCCCCTGATCCAATCACCATTCCAAGACTCTTAATCCAGATGACCTGGCAATTAACCTTCCCTGTCATGGTGTAATAATGCTTTCTTTTTAGGCTGCTATGAGGCTTAAAGACAATGTCACTTAAGGTGCCTACATGTGAGTGATGCTCAAGACAGCAGTTATTATTCTTTGCTTGGCCATTTGGCAGATGGAACTGTGGCTCAGGGAGAGTAAATAATGTATTTAACAAAGTAAATAAGTTCTAAGTGCTGAAATTGAGACTCTACCTTGCTGGGGCCAGCCTGTCTCTAAGGCTTTATATCACTCTGTTTGCCTCCTTCAGGCAGTAGAACTAGGGCTGTGTCTGACTGCTGGGGTGGGGGGGTCCTGCCAGAAATTCATTAGCCAAAAGAAAGGGACTGACAGTTTATGGGGAGAGGGAATTAGCAAGAAGAGCTTAGCCCAGTGTGCACAAAGCCTTCCCTGTCACAGGGGATGTTGCTGAGCACCACGGCTCTGCTGTCCTCCGCCAAGCTGCCCATGGGGTCGCAGAGGAATCCTTGAAGGAATGAGTGACGCTGGCCTCGGGAGTCCGCAAGGACAGAGCTGCCCGCAAGGACAAGGGCCTCTCCCATGGAGCATAGCACAGAGCCTGGCTGGGATGACCGCAAGAGGACAGAAGGCTGGCCCACAGCGATGCACACAGATCCGTGCGCCCCGAAGCCCATCTCACCCTCAGCAAGGGATCAGAGGGACCTGTGTGGGGGCGGAGGCTGGACAGAGCTGTGACTACATCTGAGCCATAGGCAGAGGTGCCACGCCAGAAGGCAGAGCAGCAACAGCGACTAGAACCAGACAAATACGGGCTCAGACCCTCCTGGGTGCTGAGGACTCGCCAACTGGAGAGAGCTAGAGAAATTCACCCTACCCATGGGCCAGACTCTGACCAGCAACACGTTCAGATAAGGACTTTTCTTTTGCAAAACCTTACTTTCTGGAGCACACCGTGCAAATAATGCCGATATCCCCTCCTTTCCCCACACTCCTCATCTCCCCTGCAAGCTCCCCTCAGCTTAGAATCCCGAGAGCCCCTAAACAGCAGCGGCCTGGATTCCTCAACCCCTTTTTACAACTCAGTGGCAATAGCCAAGTCTTCTAAGATGAAAAGCAGCCACTTCCTGAGTTGTCCCAGGTCAAGAAGTAGATGCACATCTGTCATTACTAGGACATTTTGGTTTGGTCTAAGAACTTGGCAGAGGAACTTTAGAGTCCATTCTTGATTCTGCCCAAACCAAAAGTCTGGCTTCTTTGGGTCAGTCACCACTCTGTCCGGAACTCCCTGGCTTGCTCCCTCTGTCCACAGGGAGTTATATGGGAAGCCCCTGACACAGAAGCATTGGTGAACCCTGGCTCTTGGGAACGATCATTATTAATGAAATCCTGCTTATGGTAAAGAATTATGGCATGGCTCAAGTGAGATAGCAGGTCTCAGAGCTCTGTGAGTGAAATGCACTATTCAAATGCAAGGTATTTATCATCACTGCTTGCTGACTGAGCTGCCTTCTCAGTCTGTGCAGACAGAAATGTAAGCGATGCCGGTGGCGGGTGTGAAGCCTCCTGCATTACGGACCTGTCCTCAGCCCTCTCCGCCTCTTCCACACAGCAGCCCCCACACACCTGCGCAAGGCTTCAGGCCGGGCTGGGGAGGCTGCAGCGGTCGGAGCTGCCCAAAGCTGAGGTGTGCCCAACAGCCCCAGCTCTGCAGGAACTGGCTTTGGAAGCGGTATCTCTTTGCATGATGGTCTGGCTAGCAGTGAGAGGTAGGAAGCAAAGTGATCGGTTCTGCTTTCTACTTTTGCAAATAAACAGGGCTGTTGTTAAACCAGAAGTGAATCTGATCCTGCACAGCTTTAAGAGCAGTCAGCTGCATTCTGAAAAAAGGCAAAAATGTAAACAGAGACCTGTAATTCTAGAGCCCGACAGAGCAGGCACGGATTTCATAATGGGAGAGCCGGTGGGCCCCAGGCCAAGAAAAATGAAATGTTAGCCTGGGCCTTTAAACAGAGTCATGTAAAAGCAGAGTGCATATTTGCTTAACACACGCTCGAAGACCTTTCCTGTGCCTAGCTCTGCCGGAACCACCCCAGAGAAAAACAGGGACCCCTGAAAACAGTTCGGAACTCACACTGCGCTTCTGCAGGCTGGATCTTAGGCGCGAAAGGACTTTTCTACTTAACAGGGAGATGTTCCTTTTCTCTCTCTTCTTTTTCCTCTTGGTCCAAGTTAATTACAAAGTACGACTGTGAAAATAAAATCAGTGAGCCCACTCCGCCCATGCCCATGTCTGAATCCCATCATACGAGCTACCAATTGCTTTTCTAATCCTCTCCCTCAATATCTGCTGTTAATTTGTTCGCTATTTCAAGAACTTGAGGACTGTCAGCAAAATACATGATGCATTACAAAACTTATAATTGGAAATAAAAACATCTGAAGCTTTTCTGACAGGGTAGACATAAAGTACCACAGCGCTGATCAGAACAAGGAACCGTGAGCAACCTCCACGCTATTTGTATGCAAACACAATTACACATGCTGCAGACAGTGGAATCGACACTTAACTCCCACTTGGAAAAATGCTGAGAAAATTACATCTAAATGAATGAATGAACCCAACGTGTTTACGATAGGAAATGAGGGCAAGAGAGCAGCGGAGAAATCCCGCATACATTTCCTTTGCAAATGCAACTCCAGGCCTTTCTCTGCTTTTGCGGCCATGTTAGCACTGCACTGCCTGCGCCCGCTGCAGTTTTCCTGCTGCAGGAGTTAAGGTACTTCCTCCAAGGTTACTGAATCTGACAAGTTCCACCGGGGTCCACTAGGACGGGAAGAAAAGGTGCTCTTTGTTCCTGACCTCTTGGTCAGCCTAGAGATCAGACTCCGGGCCTTCAGGAAGCCGGCTCCCATTCACTGAACGCCGCAGGACAGCGGCTCTGCGCTTCTCTGTGGAAGAGGAAGAGGCACAGGCCAGAGCTGAGCAGTACAATTGCTCTCCCCGGCCCTGCAGCCTGCGCTTTTGACTTTCTGCAGCCGAACTGCTCATCAATTAGCACGTGGATTCTTTTCTACAGAGCATCTTTGCATCAAAAGAGCAACTGAAATCATAAAAAGCAAAGGCCAGTGGGCCTGTTAACGGCCAAGTCCACGAGCAAGTTGACGGAAACCCGCTTGTCATTCTGCCTTGGCGATGGATTCAGTAACCAGAAATACAAATGACTTCCAAATTCCACCTCCCCTCCGCCCTGGCCAGACATTCATTACCGCTGTAGCTAAGGCTTGACAGACTCGATTTTTGTCTCCTCTCTCCAGCCATCCTCAGGCATCAGAGAAACATCACAGAGCAGAGTGTGCGTCAGACAGGAGCCTGGGAGCCGCCTCCAGGGATGCAGCGGAGGGGTACCAGGGAAAGGACCCTGAGTGGTCAGACTCCCAGGCTGACTGGATGAGAGGACACAAGACCCTCCTCTTCTGTCCCCAAAGAGGGAGAGGGAAACATCCCCGGAGATGAGCAAACCTGAGAAAGAACTGCTAAAACAAGATGCCCGATTCTTGGAAGATTTCCCCAAAACACGTGGAAGAAGGAAGAGGTACAGCAGCAGCCTCGCAGCCTCCGGAAGAGGTGTCCCCGAGCCCCATTCCCTGCCCTCCTTCCTGACACGGCCAGCTTCCTGCTCGCACCTCTGTAATTATGACATGGGGCTGCCCCACCCCCATCAGACCGGTCTTCTTCCTTGGGGACCTGCTCCGCCCCCCAGCACGAGCCAGCACAGGAGCACCCCAGCCGCAGGCACTGTAAGGCATTTCCTTCAGATATATTCCTTGACATGGTGAATCAGGAAACAGTACTTAATTCTCCCTCATCATTATATAGCTTTCAGCTGTGGTACCATTACAAACCTTGAATACAGACTAACAGTTCTTCTCTGACATCAAACTAAGTCACTGACTGACTGATTGATTGATTGATTGATCGGTGGCAGTCAAACCCAGGGCCTTACACATGCTAAGCAGGGGTTCTGCGACATACTTTTTGGAAAGCCTATGACGAGGTGGAAATGCTCAGTATCAAGGTTCATAGTTTTCTGTTTTTAAGTTAAAATCACTCTCAATGCTAACAATTCAGAATTTAATATTTTGCTTAGAATGTTCATTGGAAAAGCATGTAAATCAAACGGCTCCACTTACGAGACTCAGGTTTGGATGTCTACTGGGTTATGAGCAGGCATTCTCCTCCAGAGAATCTCAGGGACGGAAGAAACGTAAATTCGGAAGGGAGAATACTGGTAGCTATGGTACGAAGTCATCCAAACATCTACGCAAGTCCTTAATAATGAAGGAAATTGAAAACTACACTGTACGCGGCACTTTAAAAAGCAAGTCTGTCCACAAGTGTATTTTCCTTGAAGATTTTAACCGTGGTGAGTATATAAGTGGGCGAAAGACACTAGACCTGACCTCATCCCCATTTTACACACTAAATAGACAAGTTTGGTGACGCGTCCACTGCAGCCAGTCTGCGCACCCAGGCTAGAGCCCAACCCCAGACTCCAGAGCCTGCGTCTCCTTGTGAGTACACTGGAAACATCACCACTCTGCTAGCAGTGGTCTTAAACCCTATCATAACCTTCCTCTGGCTCTGGTGGCTAACGTGTGGCACGTGTGCTGCAGCAGGCTGCTTGTATCCCTGAAAGCTCTAAAAGGTTCGCCATCACTGCTCCAGCTTGTTGGCTCCTGCATCCTCCAGCTGAGATAACTCTCCTTCAGGACCCCCTGAGAGGAAAGCGATGTCACTGCTCCCCATTTTAAAGATGAGAAAACAGATGCACGGTGGTGTTCAGAAACTGGTCCAAGGTCCCAGGGCTGCGTAAGTGGTACAAATGGGAAGCAGCATTCCTGCTGCTTAGGAGCGCTAAACCAGATGTCCCTGACCAGCTCCGATTATCAGCAGTCCTGTGGCCAGGGGCGGTTCATTCTACAAAGCACCTTACAGTAAGGCCCGAACAACTGATATCTCCAAAAAATAAGATGAACCCAAAACTTCCCTTTCTTCCACCTCTGTGTTCACAAGAAAAATGCCAAGTACCACAACCCCATGGATGGGAAACCCTATTTAGTGATTTCTCTCATTGTAAAGAGGTGCCCAGCAGGAAAGAGCTTTAGTTCTGTGGAAATTCCAAAACACATGGCATTTAACAACTTCAGGATAATGTTTCAGGTGACTAATTAATGCTGCCTATTTGCCTGACTTTACCATCCTCTCCAATACTAAAATATTAAAGGAATCTAAATGATCTCCATCCTGTTCCGATATAAACTTTGCAGTCCATGCTCCCACCACAAATGGGTCACGCCTATCTCAGCACATATGTGAAATTGCTCTGGTTCATGTTTATTTCTGGAGATGCTGCACGATCTGCATCAGGACCCCAGGTCATCCTTCACAGTGGGGAGCTGGAATCTGGTGAGCTAAGCCCTCTTCCCAACAGATTCGCATCGGCTCGGTTGATGGAGGATGCAGCTTCTGTCTCTACCTCGGCAACTATCAACCTGGGGTCTCTGGAAGTCCTGCCTGTTCAGAAATAGCCTCAAATGTCCTGTGCCTTTTGAAGATTGTTCAAAAACATCTTCGCTTACTGAAGAACTGGCTTTGACCCACAAGAAGGGTTTCCATGACCAGCAGAGGCCATCCCTTGATCGTGTCCCTGTCACGAAGGGCTGGACTGAGAAGTTGGAAGTACTCTGTGTCCCCTGCCTGGTAGGTACCTGGAAACACTAACACCAACACCCTGCACTACCCTGAGACCAGCTTTCCGACCACAGCTTGACAGGACTAATTTCTGCTGTTCATTCTCTTGCCCTTTACCATAAAAAAATAAATCAGTGGCATTAATAAAGCTGGATCTAAAGTGGATCTGCAGGTGCTAAGCACCAGTGATCAACCCCACCACTCAGCTGTACAGTATTCCCCGAGCCAGACCTGCTAGGGTCAAACCAAGATGCTACCACTTACTCTACAGTGTCTCCTGAGCAGAGACCTGACCTTCCGGTGCCTGAGCTGTTTTTATTAGCCAGTGAGAATCATAAGGGCACCCTATCTCTTAAAGGATTTTGTAGATTAAATGAGATAACACATAATGAATGTAGAACACTGCACAGTACAAGGTCTCTCCTACAGAGCCACGATCACTGTCAGGTTGATTTGGAACAGGAATGTATTTCCAATAGTTTCTACACCCACTCTTCAGCCCTTCTGGACACCACCCAGCAAAGCCACCCAGGGAAGCACCGAGTTCACAAAGTGAACTGCTGCGTGTAGAGGCCAACCTGAATTCACTGCTGCCGCCTCTCCCCTCCCTATTACTGCTCAAGCTGAGACGGGAAGGTCAGCTCTGCTCATTACAGATGCAGAGCCCTCAGTGAGGATCCCGGAATCCCCAGACACCAATGAGCATTTGTCTCAAGGCTCTCATTTTGAAGGAGAGGATGCACTGGCTCTGGGGCTCAGTGACTCGCCCACGTTCCCCGAAGTGCTTAGTGGCACAGGCAACAGCAGAAAAGCGGTCAGCATCACCCTGCAGCAAAAGGCCAGGCACTCTCGTAAGCCTTCACAAATGTCTCCTATCTGTGACCCCGCGGCAACCCGAAAACAGGTTGCGTTCACGTCTCCTAGGCGCAGAAAGGCTTGACTCCCTCAGTCAAGGCTCTTCTGCCAACCCGCCAACTGACCACACAGGGAGCTGAGACCGCAAAGGCTCCGCATCTGGCTCCACAGGCGCTGTGCCTGTGACCAGAGCTCTGGGGTGCAGAATTTCAGCCCTGAGTTCCCCACACATCCTTCCAGCCGTCTCTGCACCAGCCTCACCTTGGACCTTCGGAAAGCACAGACTGCTGGGCTATGTCTACAGGCGGAGAATCGGAGTCTCTGGTATAGGCTTTAACTTCTGCCCCTGCAGAGCTGAACATTCCGATACATACAGAGATTTGAACTCCTAATCTCAGCACAGTACTGTATGACTGTGTCCTGTATAAAATCAGAAGGCCATGGGCCACCCAGGCTGATGGCATGGTAAGTGACCTTCCCGAAATTCTCCTCCGTTACAGAGACACTTATGTGGCTGCAATCCCACATACACAGATACATCTCCCAGAGCCCTACTCTTGACTACATGAGTCTGTTTCACAATGGGAATGCACACTGTGTTTTGTAACACTACCAGAATATGTGCTCTGTTGGAAACCCAGGAAGAAACTTTCCATCCATCCGAATCACTTTCATTTAAAGCACCTACGTCCAAGGCACACTTTCTTGGCACCCAGCTACAAAATGGAGGGGAAAACGATTTGAAGGAACACTTACCAAGGTGCACCGTATATCCTGAATCCCTTCACTGTGACCTCCGAATCTTGCAAGTAAATACTGTTTGTCAGGAGGGACTGAACATTGTCAAAGTCCTCGGGTTTCAATTTGGACACAGAGGGGAAACGGTAGTAGTCCTGTTTAACAAGGTCTGCCATGAACTCCTTATCAAATGTCAGTTCGTGATTCCCAGCAATCACTATTTTATATTCATACGGCAGGTTTCCTGCAATAAGAAAAAAGAGCAGCAATTAGCACGCTCGTTTCCCCTCACCAAGTACAGCGAGACTGTGATTAGCAGACAGCTCACCCAGACGACACAGCTCACACATACTTCCGTGTGAGCCACAGTGCATTAGTCCTTTATACTGACAAAGAAGGAACATAGGCAGGAGACAGGGAACTGCTGAGAAGCCGAAGGTACTGAGGACACATTCTGTTTTCTGGCTCCGTCTCATTCTTCTGTATCAGGCAGGCTCGCTGTGATGAATCCAACCAGTAATGAATCTACCCTTCATAATTACCTGGGAGAAAGCACTATAATCATGATCCTTCAAAGGTGACCTGGATTCAATTTGATCCTCAAAGAATAAGGCAACCTACTATTCTTAATAACTCTGAGAAACGCTATATTCTCAGGATAACTTTCATGCAAAAGACAGGGCATAGCCAAGCATTCTACCATTTGCACCTAGGAGGGGGACCACCTAGTGCAATTTCCTACTGCAAGTCTAATTTTAAGTTTACTTTTCGGCTTGTGAATGAAAAGAACGTTATTAACGGTCCCCTGATTGGTAGGCTAACTTTCATCCCACTGGGATGGGAGAGAAACTGTAAAGCTTAACCTCCTTTTAATATTTATGCTATGGAAATGTGAGTTCTCAGTGTGTGCTTTTTATGCAAAAGTTTCCCGATCGAAATGAGATAATTCTGGGAAGAAGAATGAAAGCTATAAAGCAAAACCCAAACACCAGACTTCTGCATAGATTTATAATGTTTGAATAAAGTACAGATCATACATATTAATAACTCACCGCCATTCTGTAAGAACCAAAATCCAAAGGGAGACAGTCCCAGGCAGCTCTCCCCGCCCTGCGATTAATGCCCCTCTCTCTTCCCTGTCACCACCCATCCCTCAAGCCCCACTGCGGGGCCCCTGCTCATTTTATTCTATTTTGTTTTGGAGGAAGAAGGAGGTGGAACCACGGCACCTGTAATTCCAGCTTCCTGAGTCTCCTGGATCCAACGCAAAATTAATGCTTCCTGCTATTCCAGGAAGAATTAAAGTTACCCCTAGCAGGAAATTGGATCCACTTGTTGTAAGAATTGGTTCTTACAGCAAACTAGAGTCGATGATTTAATTAAGGAAGTTAATGTGAAGGAGAATTTGGGGGAAGGTGGAGAGGGGCAGTTTCTGTCCGGGTCCGTTTGGTTTGAGCAATAGGGAGCCTCAAGGTTGTGATCAAGCCCGCAACACTGCAGTGGTTTCCAAGGCTGAGGCTGTGTTTGCCGTGTTACCATTTTCTTTGGCTTTTAATTTTTCAGCTTCTAACTCTAATGGAATTGCCTGGATAGCATGTGCGTTAATGGGGAGGCTTCGGAAAGAGACAAAAGCATTCTGATGAAGAACAACACTGCAGAGAGATCAAACCAGAAACGCTGAGGCCAAGAGTCAGTGAGCAGCCTGGGTTATTAGTGCGCACCGCCATGTGACACGGACTTCACCACGGTTATCTGCGAGGCTGTGCTGAGGACTCACCCCCGACAGGAAGCCTCTCGCAAATGCACGTTTATAAAAGTCTGGGAACTGGAAAAGTGCTGTCTGGTGCAGCTACTTAGATGGTGATGACATTTCTCACAGTTCCTGTACCCAAGGTGCAAGTGAAAGATGTATTAACAAAGCAACACGTTCCCAGCACTGCATCTGCTGGAAATCTGTGAGGGCCCTAAGCCCTAGAGATCATGGTTCTGCAACTCCACTGGCTTGATGACACACCCTCGATTCACTCATGGTCACCCAGCCAAAGCAAGCCAGTTTCCCAGGACAGGCATCACTCCTAGGCAGGTCCGCCCAGGTGGTCCCCAAGCTGCCCGGGCTGCCCCGGCACACTGTGGTCACCCTGTCACCCCCTTCCTTCCCGAGGGGAGCATCACCGCCCAACCTTCCACCCGCATGCCTGCCGCTGTCCTCATCCTACAGCTTTGGTGGCCAGCAGGGGACACCAGGGCACAGGGCAAAGGAAGGATTCCCTTTTTCCTTTTGAACCAGCTTAAGAAAAAGAAGGGGGAAAAAGTAAAAGTGCCACAAAGTAAATTTTCCTCAGCAGCATCGCATCGTTGATGTCTTATTTATTTATTTATTTATTTATTTATTTATTTAGCAGTACTGCGGATTGAACTCAAGACCTTGCGCTTGACAGGCAGGCGCTTATGCCCCTCAGCTATATCCCCAGCCCGCTGGTGTCTTTTAAATCACATTTTAGAGACTCAGCTTAGAGAAGCAGACAACAACACAAACCACAGAAGGGCGACAATACTCACACATTCCACCACAACCATCGCATCCCCAGAGTCCCACAGCAGCCCCCGAATCCCACCCTCCCTTCCCTGTGTTATGAAATTGTCTGACATATTTTCTTTTCCGCTGAGCTGACCTTTCATCTATAATCTGCCAACCTTTATGTTTTATATGAAAAGTCTAAGCAGGGCAGCTGACAAATCTCCTGTTCCTTGATGGCATTTTCATTTTTTTCCAGCCTGGATTAATTTGGAAGTCTCTGCCGTCAAGCTTCCGTTCTTGCCATTCCAACAGCATCACTTTCAAATCGTCGGACAGAAAGGTGCTCGCCGTTACCCATTTTATTCAGATCAAGCACCGAAGCTGACCTCCCGGATTAAAGAATCGCAATCCCAGGTAGTTCTTCTAACTTGGAAAAAAGTCTTCTCTCCAAAGGAGCCCGAGTGTACCCACGAACCAGTCTATCTCTCCCAAAACACCTGCTCTACCAGTGACGGATGAGATCGCTGCAGGTGAAATGCAAATGAACACTTGACAAAATTTCAGGTAGCTATGTACATTTTCTAAGAGCACATTTGGAAAAATAAAAGTGTAATAGTGTAAGTAATGATGTATAGCTTCACTTTTCTACTTTTATGTATAAAATAAGAGGTTATTTAAAGAAAGCTCCACAGAGTACATAACAGCACAGGTGATTCACAGGAACAGCAAGGTGATGACGGAAGCAAGAGAATGGATGCAAGGGGGAACACCTGCCCTGGGCTCAGGGGAGTGCTCTGGCTGCAGCGGCCGAGGCCCACGAGCAGCAGCACTGGCCTCTGTCTGTTCCGCGCTGTCTGCGTGCAGTGGGGTCCCATAGGGAGATACTCATGAAATCAAACTCCCCTAGGACCTCGCTGCTACTCAGCAGCACTGACCACACCTCTCCCCAAAGCAGCCCCCAAATTCTCTCTGGGGGCCTCTCCAGCCGTAGGCTCCCCTCTGACTCCCTCCTCGGGCGGGCACGCAATACGTGTGCAAGCACACGGGGAAGCGGGGAGGGTCTCTTCCCCTCCAAGTCCTCCTGGGTTTGTGTCTTCTCTTCTCTGCGACAGCTCCATCTCCTCAGTCTCATTCTTTCTCCCTTGACACCGCCCTCTTCCAGAACCTGCCTCCGCTCTCTGGGCCGCTCTATCTCTGAGTCTCCCTCTGAAGTGCGCTTGTGTCCACCCTCCCAAGGACACAGGCCAAGCAAGCTCCAACAGCCACACAAGCACACAGGTCTCACACATCCCGGAGCAGGCCTTGACCGTGCTGCCGCTTGGCGACCCTCTCCCTTTCACTTCTAAACTTCTCGGGGAAAGAAGGCCAGGAGCTTGCATCTGACAGGCCCAAGTCAGCCCACAGAAGTATTACTGTGAGGCCTCAGCTAAGTTTTGCTTTTTGAAAAACTGAACTGACATTTAGAACTCAAGAGCTATCATATGAAATTGTGGGTTTCCAGCCTCTTGGGAAAAAAAGCCCAGGCAACCACTGACTCTGCTCTCCAGCAGACCTTCACACTTCTGACTCTGCTCCCGCCTGGCCCGGTCCTGGTCCCGACCACATCTGTTTTGTGATGGGCCACTCTGTTAGCAGATGTCACAGCTCAGAGGCCAGGGCTCACTCAGAATTTGTCCAGCGCAATTCTGATCTCTCCTGAAAGCTTGCCTGGAATGTCGCTAAGAACCTAATGCACTCAAGGCTTTTTCTGGAGTTTCACCTCTGCGGATCACACCGCAGGGACCTCATTCTTTGAACGCATCAATTCTCCGGATTCCTGGCTCTCGGTCCCCCGAAGTCTCTCCACCCTTTCCACTCCCCTCCTCCCTCTCTATGGGGACTGCTCACCCCCTCTGGCTGCGCTCCCCACATTTCTATTCTTTGTGATTCAAAGTTAAAACTATCACAGCCTGAACGGTCCAGGACGTATGGGGCTGAGAGCCCAGACTCCGCAGGCTCTACTGAGCATCAGCTGTGTGACCCCGGACAGACGCCTCCTGCCTCCCACAGGGCGTGGCAAAACAGGGATGAGAACTGCTTCCACCTGGGGGCTGCACAAGGGTGGCGTGAGACAGGGCTTCTGCTTCGTGCGGACGGCGTAGTAAGCGGTCAGAGCGCGCTAACAGTTGTTGCTCTGTCTTCCAACTTGCTCTTCACTCGCGACTTGTCTCTGCCTAGATGTGAAGGTTGGACGGTGTGGACGGTGACTTGTGGCTCCTTGACTCCAAACACCAGGTGCAGCACTTCCTCACAGGAGGCACACGACTGTCAAATAAGCGATGGAATGAACGAGCCTCTGCAGAATTCGCCACGCACTTCCCACGGGTTCCAGGAACTGTGTTTGCCATCTTAGTCTATGACAAAGTGCGAGCCACCATCACGTCTTCCCCCGCTGTACTCGGTCCCCTGACACCCAGTCTCGCCAAGGAACTTCCAATGGACCTTTTCAAAATTAAACTTTCCTTACTTGTAAGGGGGAGAAATAATGATCCTACCTCTAAGGTTTGATGCAAATCAAACATGACCCAGCGCATCAAGAACCTGCATGGTTTCTGACACTTTCTATTCACTCAACAGACACTAGCCATGCTCTTGGTGTCCTGATGATGATAATGATTATGCTTCCCAGTTGCCATCCAAGACATTATCAAGTTATCCACCCAGGACGAAGCACAACAACCACCACTCTCAAAGAAAGAAGAAGGAAACACACAAGCCTTTGACCTTTCCAACCACGGAATCTGGCTTGGCCCAAAGTGTCCTTCAAGCAGTGCGGTTTCCCAAGGGCTGCCGGGCATCTGAGCATGGCGGCAATGGGCCTCCAACCTGCACACAGAACCCACAAAGCTTCCTGCGTCCAGGTGACCCCACTGGCACAGAGTGTGACCTGGGCACCCCACTCCTTTCCTCCTCTATTCCTCCTTTGCTTATCCAGACACCCAGCTCTTCCAGTTCTGAGGACTGAGCATGTGGCTGTCCCAGCCTGTCATTCCCAGCTGATCCAGACCCTGTTTCTCTCAAGAGCTACTGGTCACTCGCAAGGCCTGCAGCTTTGTTGAGTGGGATGCTCTTTCTGCGTGTCTGTAGCAAGCAGCAAACTTTCTGGAAGGCAGGGCTGGAAGTGCCTGGAAATACAGAGCAGCTTTAAGGTCAGCCATGGCCACACGTGTCAAAGTGTTAACCCTCCAGACATTGAATGTGGCACTTCTGGCAGCTCCCATGTGTCACAGCTCATGGACCGGGAGGGTCCTGCCAGGCCCCAGGTTGGGTGGAGAGGCCTGTGCTCCCTGAAGCCTCCCCAGGGCTCGAGCAAGGAAAGAGTGGGACCAGGGGCTGCGCCCATGTGCACCACGGCAGCCCTGTGTCCTTGATTTCACAATGAGGAGATGATTTCATTTGAAGACAAATGTCCCTAATTTCAAAAATTACAAAGACAACCCACTGGTCCCCCCAACGCTGTCCCAGCAAGGCGGAAGCTGAGTTCCCTTTTGGGGCTATTGTTCGGTGTGCTGAGTCCCAGCCCTCAGGGGTGGAATGCGAGAGAACTCAGCTCTTCTGCCTCCCAGCCCAAGACACTTCCAGGCAAAGCCAGGTATGTAACAGCCTGACAAAGTGGCTCAAGGCCCACCACGCCCACAACTCCTCCACACCCCCACCCACGCCGACCCACTCTCTGGTGTAGAGCAGGCATGGCCCTCTCCGTGAAACACATATCCTATTCCAGATGTGTCTCACTCTCCTCCATGGGACACGAGGGGTGGACTCCCGATAGAACAGTGTCACCCTGGCTCCATTATGGTGTTATCCAAGGACTGCCATGGCTCTCAGTGCAACCTCTTACCTACTGCCTCCCTGGGATCAGACAGCCTATCCCAGGGACAGAAGGGAACGTAACAAAGAACTGTGAAATCTGGGACGTGTGCGCATCATTTAAAAATCCTCAAAAAACTGCAACTAGAAATTCCATTTGACCCCGCTCTTCCCCTTCTAAGTATTTTCCTGAAAAGAGTTGAAGATATATTGCAATGATGTATGCATACCCACGTTCATAGCAGCACAATTCATACTGGCTAAATCTTGGAAGTGGCCCACATGTCCATCAGCAGACGAATGGATAGAGAGAATGTGGTGTTTACACACAATAGAATACTACTCTGCCATGATAAATGTGAGTCATCTGTAAGAAAATGGATGCTCCTTCAGACCTCAATGTTAAGCGAAATAAACCAGACACAAAGTTTAACTATCACTTGGTGCCTCTTATATGAGAAATCCAAAGTGTAAATAAAGAGCAAAACAAAAGAGAGCTAATAGGAACCTGGGAGATAGATCATTCTTAAAGGGAAGGGCTGGAGAGAAAAGGAAGGGAAAGCAGATTTTTAAAAAAAGAATTAGGATGTGTTATGCACTTGTGCCAATCCCACACAAGGAAGGTGAGTGAAAACGTGCACTAAAACACAACATGAGAAGATAAACACATAAACACTGCTCTGGAAAGCAAGGTGCCCTGGCTAGTTTATTCTTCTCCCCCTAGCAAAAAAATTAATGCCCCTCAAAATGAAGGACTGTATAACTACAACTGTTTTTCTGCTATAGGCATCACACAAGGCATTTAGATCCATGATCAGTTTTCCATGGCCTGGGAATTGGCTGGCCACCTGCAGGAAGTCAGCTCTTCCTGCTGGACTCAGCTCTTTCCTGGAGCTCTTCATCCTCTTGAAGGGGATTCTGGGAAATACGGCAACCAAAAGGCTCCACAGGTTGGAGCTGATGCCAAACACTACCTGTCCCACACTTCAGTTTTTATCACAGATCCGGTAAACAAGGCCAGCCGGCTGCTACCTTCACCTCTTCACATCAGCCAGAGCCCAGGGGAGAGCCGGTCTATACTGCAGTTCTTCACACAGACAGCAGCTGCAAGCCAACATCACTTTCCGGGTTTCCTCAGGGAAAGAAAACCTAGTTCCACACAAGTGGCAAAGTTTAAGATTCCCAGCCCCTCCAGGCTTCTAAATTGTAGATTTTGAAAATATACGAGGGAACCAAGACTATCTGTAATAAAAGCCTCCCAGGAAACAAAGCTCACTTTAGAGCAGGAAGCAAAACAATAGCAAGAGGACAGTGAGGACAGAGGAACTCGCAATTGTCTCCCAGGTGCCCAGGAAAACAAGACCACAAGTGCAACCTTGGGCTCGTCTTCCTCTGCCAATGTGCTAGGTAAAACCTCACTCTCGGGGATTAAGAAGAATCAAACGGATTCCTATTTTCACGGGACTGTTTCTAAACAAAGGGGATATGTTACCTTTTAACCATGTTTTTGAAAGCTTCCACCTGCCCGGGAGCCTGTTTGAAAACACAAGTCCCGAAGCCAGTGGTACAAACAGACCTTGTGATATCCCCAGGACAGAGAGGAGAAGATGGAAAATTTTTCTGTTTAAAATTATGACTGTATTTTTAATATTGTGACTCCAGCCAGAAGAGGGAAACTGTTCACACTCCTAAGACCTGCTTGTCCGCTGAGGACTGATAACAATCACCTGAAAATTGGCCAAGCAGAAAATTCCAGAGGATGGAAGGA